ATATTCATATAATTGGTGCCCATTGATTGAATTGAATTGAATAAATACAAGCTGGACGAGTTGCATCATGCATAGTACTGTATGCTGGTGTCAAATTCACAACCACCCTAAGACCAACTCCACCGCGCGATCCCAAACGGACGTCCGTTTTTGTCCGGATTCTGTCCGTTTGAGTAGGGCAATAAGGTCGTGTCCGGACAGTTTCTGGGATGCGGTGGCCGTGTGGCCAGCGCGCGGACGCATCCCGCCGCATCCTGTCCGCGTACATTTTTCTTTACAAGCCCTTAACTCTTTTTCATCATTCATTTTTGGTACATGGAAATACATCACCAAATTTTGACTCGTACAACAAGACCAAAGAAAACAAAAACCACAAGAATACATTTTAAAAGATACCCAACTTCCATAACTGCTCCCTTGAGTTGGATTAGGGCCTTTTCGATGCACTCATTGTTGATCTGTGAAGGAGGCTCGATCTTGCATGCTTCTTTTTTCTTCGAGTCTAAATAAGTCGATGTTGCTTCCTCACACCTAGTCTCGTGTCTAGCCTCTAATCTAGCAACAAGTGCACTTGTCTCATCTACAGCCTCTATGCTAGCTAAAGGTGCGCGGACATCTACTAAATTTCGCTCTATCAATATATCGATGTACTCTTCTTCCCAATACCAAAACTTGCATCCATGCTACACAATAAAATTTGAAGTTAGCACAACTACTCAAATCTAGAGCACAAACCGAAGCTAAAAGGAGCACATACCCCATCGTTTAAGCACTTGGTGAACACCCATCTGGGATGTTCCGACGTTGTAGACACGCGGCGCACGACCTTCTTTGGGCAATGGCCGCACTTAATGAGTGGCAACGGTGCGCCGATGAGCTTTTGGGCAAGCACCGAGGCCGACCAACTGCCATTCGTGTATCTGTCGGCGGACCACCGACGGTGCAGATCCGAGCGGCTAGAGGAGGAGCCACTGCCTACACGTGGCCTTGCGGCCCTGCCAGGGCCTTCCGGCGAGGTGCCCGGCCAGTCCATGGCGCGGCGCGGCCTCCCACAGCCAGGCGAGCTCAAGACCGACCGGATCCGCCCCAAATCCGACCGGCGGGAGCGCAAACCAGGTGGCCATGGTTGGGTAGCTCGGCGGCGCCGAGGGGAAGGGGTTGGGCGAGCGCGCATCCGAGCTGCACGGCTGCAATGGCAGCGGCTGCGAGGGAAGAGTGGAGGGGGGTGCGGCCGGAGGGAGGGAGGGGGCGGATAGAAAAAGGCGCGCCCTGTGCCACCGACGGGCGGGCCAGGGGAGCACACGTGCAGACGGCCCGCTCGTCCGCGTGGTGTCCGTTTCACCCCAAAAGCGACGCAAACTTGGACCGGGGATGGGTAGAAAGCGGACACAAGACAGACAAAAATCCGTTTGCTCCCGCGTGCTGGGCCGTTTGGTTCGTCCGTTTTACCTCAAACGGACGCGCGCGGACAGGATGAGATCGCGCGGTGGAGTTGGCCTAACCCTAGCAGCAGATGCCAAGCGAGCTAGTGTAGATGTTTTATATTTATATATATATTTCTATCTATCTAGGCTGGTTGGTTGATGATGGATGATGATGATGTGCTAGTGCTGCTGCTGTAGGGTTTATAGAATGAATGATGCTGCATCGCTCATGTCAAAGTCATGCCTTCTTCTTCTTTAATCAAGTGCCTAGTTTGTACTAGTATATGTGCATGTTGACATAACAGTGAGAGCTAATCTGATCAAACATTGTTTGGCACTAACTTGGTTGCCACACTGAGGATAAAAGTAGTACTGTATGTGTGGATTGATTCCAGATGCATGAAACCAATACAAAATTTCTTGCAGATCTCGATCCTGTGAGCTTTGGAAGATACTGTAATTTTTGCGAGTTTTGGTAATATAATTTTGCTACTCCCTCCGTTCTAAATTACTTGTCTTGGATTTGTCTAGATACAGAGGTATCTAACACTAAAATGAGTCTAGATACATCCGTATCTAGACAAATTCAAGACAAGTAATTCGGAACGGAGGGAGTACTTGTGATGGATAATAGTAACTGGAGTCAGTCAAGTCAACAGCAGCAACCAAAACACTCGGACAAATGAAATTGAATGTATTGAATTCAATTTAGGCAGTATCCAGAGTTTCAGACATTAACAGAGGTTTTTTTTTTTTGTTTGGTCACTCTCAAGACCAGACCAGACCAGACCAGATGGATGCAGGGGAGGATGGCATGGCAGCTGCCGGAATGGCAGGAGCTGATGGATGATCGGTGGTGGATCGCGCCGGCCGGCATGCATGCGGTTGGTTTCTTCTTCTTCTTGTTGAGATGAGATTCAGAGGTCGAGGAAGCCGGTCTGGCGGAGCACGGCGTTGCGGACGCGGCAGAGGTCGCGCCCCTTGAGCGTCCGCCCGGCGCCCTCCAGCACCGACGACGACCGCGCGTGCCGCCGCGCCGCCACCACGTGCGGCGGCACCATCTCCTCCCCGCCCTCCTCGTCTTCCTCGGATTCATCGGCCTTCTTGGCGCCGCGCTTCGCCTTCTCCCTGGGCCTGGCCGGCTGCCCCGGCCACACCGGCACCCTCACCGGCGCCGACTGCCTCGGCGTCGGCGTCGCGGCGCCGTGACCCGGCCTCGCGGGCACGGCCAGCGCCATCCCCGCGTGCAGCTGCTGCGCCTCGACGCTGCCGCCGTCGCCGCCCTCCGCGAGGAGCGACGAGAGCCCGAAGCTCTGCGGCACGGCGTGCGCCGCGCGACGCCGCGCGCTGGCGCTGGCACGCCGAGTGGTCACCACCGCAGTCTCGGCCACGGGCGCGGCCGCCCACCCGTCCACGTCAACACCGCCACCACCGGCCGGCCAGACGACGTCGCTCTCGTCCAGCTCGAAGCAGGCGCCGTCGTGGCCCGCCTCGGGCTGCTTGAGCAGGCCAAGAAACCGGAACGCGCCCGCGCCAGGCGACCTCGGCATCTCCATGGACCAACCGTGACACACTCCACCAAGACCAACTCACCAAGCGCTATCTCCCTCTCCTCGCCGGACGCCGGGCCACGCCCCCGGAGAAGTAAGTATTGGGTCTAGTAGAGTGCCACGCTCGGCCTCAGGTTCACCACGCTTTGGGTATATAAAACCGTGGGCTATGTGGGGACTGTCGCTGGAGCTGGAACTGTGGAGGAAGGAAGGAGGAGAGCGACGGCGGGGAACCACCGGAGGGGGAGGGGGGGCCTCAAGAAAGGAATCTCCTTGCAGGTCCAGGTGGATGCAGTTGGGATTCTTTCCTGGATTTGGATCCACTCTCCTGCACTTTTTAATCTGTAGGAGTAAAATAAATGGTGATGAGATCTTTATTTTTGGTTTAGCAGGATCCCATCCTCCAGCTGCACTGCACATGTGGCACATGGCGTTCATTGGCTCGAAGATTCTTGGTGCGTAGCCTAGTCATTTACACCACGTTCCGCAATGCAATTCTAGTGGTGGAGTGCGAATTTTTGAAAATATATATATTATATTTAAATGTTTTGAAAAATAATCAAAAATATTTCCGTGGAAACTTCTATGTTATATGAGTTCACTACGGGTCTGTGAAAATTGATCTCGAATTTTTTTTGTGAGTTATAAGCTGTAGTGCAAAAAAACAAAAATCCGGCCCAACAAAAGAGGCCCATTTTCAAATTGAATATTTGTCATCTTTTGTACGCCATGTGTAAAAGTAAAACGTTATGAAATTTTACAGATGCATAATGTGTGTGTGTGTGTAGGGCTTTGAAACCAAATACGTTGCCTACAATGGAAGTAAACTCCCTCCTTTTCGACTTACTCAATTCATAGGCCATGCGCATGTTTCTAGATCATCAATTTGTTCAAATAAATACTACCTCCGTTTCAAAATGTATGACTTTTAGCCTACCAAAACTTCATATATTTTGGAAACCTGTCACTAACAAAACCTGTCATCCAAATTATATCCAAAATATGTGTTATATGTCATATTGATAAACCTTTTTTTGGTATGTTATTGATGAGGTTCCAAAGCATAAAAATCTTCCTCACACATAATATCTGTTTTGTTAGCGAGTCAAATTGCGGACCTAGAAGCACACATACACATATGCGCCCGGACGGAATTGATACTTGGTTCATCTTTAAAATTAGTACTACTATCCTCGTTTATTTGTCCTTATTTTATTTTGGGTCAAAGTTTGACCACATATTTAATTAGCAAAATGTTAATGCATGCATCAAAAATTAATTGGTTGATTCCACGTAGAATCAAAAGTACTAAATTTGGTGTGATTATAATTGTTTGCATATTTCCAAAGAGCACATGACAGTTGCTTTACTGGATGTTTGTCTTTGAGTGAATATTTGTTTGAAGAGTCTTTTGGACTTTACTACCTTGCAACACGTCCCGCTGGTATCGTTTGGTGCTCGCTCCATTATCAATGTACTATACTACTCATTTATGCATTTGTCTGATTACACATCAAGAATCAAAATTAGAATGAAATTAATGTGGTGGTAATTAATGATTACCTATTCCCAAAGCACGGGTTACACACTGAAAATTCAGATTCCTTTGTTTAGTGAGCGAAAATTCACAACATATTAGCTGAGGAATGATAACATGTTACTAGGAGTACTTGTTTTTGGAAACAAGTTTTCCAACGATTTTTCATAAAATCAATTTTAGTTAGTTTTTCTATTAACTTAAGACTATATAATTCTTTATTTGAATGGTAAAATGGAGGGAAGCACGTATATGCGGTTCTTTATCTGATCGCCTCTTGAAAAGAAGTAAGTTCGCCTCCTCGAGCTTAAAGACAAGGTCATCGCCTTGCCCTGCTCCATCGCTGACTAGTACATCAATTACACTTGGCATCTGTCGAAATATCGAGGATGCATACTACCAAAACAACAATAAAACTAATAATAATAAGAAGAAGAAAACTACACAAGCTATGACTTGCAACAGACCAGCACCAAAGCCATTCTCCGCCGTGGCAACACAGGAGCTATGATAAAGGTTCTCCGGAAACAACACCTGATGATGCTTAAGAGTTGTCGTCTCGGTGTCCAACCACTGCACGTCAGATCTTGGGGTTTCACCCTGAAGAGCACATCTGAGCAGACTCCAAAGCAATGCCTTCAACAAGGCGCATGAAGACACCACCACTTTCAAGTGCATCCATCAAAGGCCGGACCTAGAGTTTTTACCCCGGAGCTCGAGACCTAGCACTCGAAGAGTACCAGCAAGCCAAAGACATAGTGTGCCACCACAACCCTTTGTCGAAGAATACGAACCTGCACGGAAAGGCATCCACACACCGGAAATGGTGTCTCACAAGTCACAACCCTCGTCACAATCGCATTTCGCAGAATTTTACATGAATGTTACCGGAAGTAGTTTCATCTTCTCAAAGCTGGTGGTGAATGCAAGTCCTGATGTGGGTTTGGCCCTTACGCGGAAATGTTCTTTTCACGATGTTAACGTTCTGATCTACCCTTGGCCGGGGCTAGTAAGTAAAATTTACTTGTAGTTGACGATGGCGACTGAATGGTTTGGTTTGGTTGGTTGTGAGCTTTCTGTTGGCTGAGGTTTACAATTCGACAAAGCCCCATGGAGGCCATTGTCTACCATGGTGGCTACATGTAGACTAGTGGAAAGTTGGATGGTGACAGTGGCCTGTGGAACGTTCCAAACAAACCAATCCTCAATGCAATACATTTTTTTTCCTTTTTTAACTTCCAGGAAGTGCATGCACACAAACATGCGTCATTGTGCATGTATGACGATGGAGCATGTGTCCACTAAGGCATGGAAGATGCATGCGTTTTGTGTTTGCTCTCTAAATTCATTCGGTATATCCAGGGCAGGAATGGAATATGATTAACGACAACCATTGATTGGTACTCTCTCCGGTCACAAATATAATTAAGAGCATCTACAACCGGATCTCTTAAACCCGCTTCATATGTCAGAGCGGGCCGGCCGGCCATTGCCCGGTCACTTTTTTCGCCCCAGACGGATGCCTCAAACGCCCGGACTGACCGGCACCCTCCATATCCAGCCCAAACATGGGGCGGATATGTGGTGGCCCGGGCACGCCCGCCTAACAAGCCCGGCCCACCACCGACCCCATGGATGTCCCACAAAAAACCCATCGGCCTCGTCGGTCTGAAACCCTAGCTCACTCATTCTCCTCTCTCGCTCCGTCCTCTCCTCTCCCCTCATCGATTCCGATCGAATTCGGCGCAATGTCGAGCTCCGACAGCCGCTCCGACGAAGAGGTGGATCCGGAGTTTGAGCTTGCCCTCCGCACCGCCTTGGAGCGGTCCAAAGTGGACACCAGGGGAAGCTCCGGATCTGCAGCCGTAGCCGCAGCCGCCGCTTCCTCGTCGGCGCATCTCGGACACCGGCGCTGGCCCCTCCCGGCCCATGGGCATCTTCGACAGGCGACCGTCGCAATCCGCGCCTCCCCTACGCTGTCCCCTCGCCCCTCCGGCTGCTGCTCCCCTTCATGGGCAGTGGTGGGTGCTTGTGCCCGCCCCGCCGGCCCGGATGCGCACGCCGGAGTCAGAGGTGCGCGCCGCCCGCCGCGAGAGGCAACGGGCAAGGGACAGGGGCGCTGTGGAGAGCTCTGTCCGTCGCCGGCGTGGGCCGTCAGAGCCCGACGACGATGAGTGGCTCCTCCAGTGGGTCTACGCCGGTCGCTTACGCCGGCGGAGACGGACGCTTGTCGACTCCGTCGGAAGAATTTGAAGGCTCTCCGGCTTGCCATCGAGCAGAACGAGCGGGAGGCGAGGGAGAAGGCGATGGAGGCGGCTCGGCTAGCCAAGCTCAGGCGCCAGCAGGACCGGGCCGTCCAGCGCCTCAAGGGTCTCGTCATCATCGACGCCTCCTCCTCCAACGACGACGACGACCACGGCTCCTCGTCCGACGAATCGGACGACCCTCCACCAGCCGTGGACTCCTACAGCAGTGCCGGAGACCGGAAGGGCAAAGGGCTGGCGGCGAGGAAGTGGTGAAGAAGGTCTCTATTTATCGTTTAGTGTTTGAACTTGTTTGGCGATGAACTATTCCGATCTTTTGGATGATGTAAAGTGGGTTTATGTGCATTTCATTTTCTATTTCATGTCGATTTCTTTGTACGTTGTTTGATCACGTAGAGTAGTTTATCACGTGCATGCATAGTATGGATATAGGATACCGGATATGAGATACGCGGATGTGGAGAGGCAAATTTGAGACGTGCCCGGTCAGTGCCCGCGGACGCGCCCGGACACGTCTGCGGGCGTTTGAGGGGTCGGATTTGCTGTACGTGGCTGTAGATGCTCTAAGATGGCTTGGATATTTCAATATGAACTATGTATGGACTGAAATGAGCGCGAAAAGACTAAAATGTGTTTATATGCATTTGATTCACAAAATAGTTAGGACATCTTATATTTGTGAACAGAGGGAGTACTACCTTTTGTGTTAAGACATGGAAGATGCATGTGTTTTTGTGTTTGATCTCTAAATTCATTGGGTATATCCAGGAGGCAATCCTACACTTACGTAAAGGAACTACTTTTACATATT